TGTTCTAGTTCTAAATTTGATATAATTTTTCTGGTAGGTAAAATACTGGCCATCAAATTCCAGCTATCTATCGTGGACTGTCTTGATTATACTACTTTTTATTAATTTATAGCCGCCTTGCAGGTCAGTTCATAGCTCTTGTATACTGTCCCTTTTTCCTTTTTTTGCATCCAATTTGTTCCACTCACCATTGTGCCAAGAGATAGTTTGGCTGTAGCCCCAAGGATCACATCGAAGTTCTGTATTGTGTTGCTGTCATAGCACCAATTCTAGAAAGCTAGCTAGGAACAAAAACAAGGGCTGCACATTATCTGACAGTTGACCCCACGTACGTGAAATCTAAAACTGTAACTACTTCATTCAGTGTGCAGTGAAATGAGTTCCTGTGCATCTTCTTAAGGAAACCAGATTTGACTGATATCTACAGTAGCTTTAAGCCTGATTTCATTGACGTAGTTGTGTTTTATACGTAATAAGTTCTAAAAAAAAATTTTTTACAGCTCCTATTCTTACTGCTTAGTGCTTCTTGCCTTTTATTGACAGTGGATCTTTGCACACTGGATAGACCATTTCTTGCTTGCATTCATCTATTCTTTTCTCCATCATTCACTGTGTTCAGGTTATGACTCTCAGAAATGAAATTAAAATACAATTGAGCGCTTAGTTTGATGAAAGGATTAGCTGCTGTCATCACGTTACGCAGAAGAATACAAAGTAAAAAGGCAAACAAATCTGTATTCAATAGAGACCTGTGATTAAGCTTACTACCCACTGGATGTCACTATTGTTCCACAGAAATTCATCTAGGAGAATATTTATCTAGAGTTGAGCAGCTGATGGAAAAGACCTTTCCTTTGCAGTAAATTGAGAGTTTTTAATTGTGTTTGCAGAAATATTGTAAACTTACGTTCATTTTTGCAATTGAATGTTATATTGAGGTTTGCTAGTTCATATAAAATTTAAAAAACCAAACAGTAATCCATGAAGACTGTGTAAATGCAGATAGTGAGTAATTAAAGCCTACCAGCCAGCAGAGATGCTTGCATTCATTATATTCAAGCCACTTGGTCTCATTATTATTCTTCTACTCTACAATTGCTGGAGGTAATCTCAGCACAGTGAATGAACATTACCAGTCTGCTTGAATTTGCTTAGTACATTAGTTATTTTCTTTTCAAAAAATGTGCATTCTGTACTATCTAGTATTCTAAAACATAGTCAAGTATTTTAAGAGGTAGTGAATAGCATCTCAGTCTTTTAACTGGAAAGCTAATTAGCCCACTGGCTAAGAGGATGCCTTTGCAGAAAGTGACTGGATTTGTCTTCCCAGAACTCAGTTGGTGTGTGATCTCAAGCAAATTACCTCAAATCTGTTATCTCTTTTTCCATCTTCCCAACATGCCATGTATAAACTTTCTATGTGAGAGATTGTTGCAAGGTCTTTGTAGAATGGCTGGCAGAGGATGTGCTGACAACTTTCCAGCTTGCTGGGGTGCTGCTATAAGATGAAACAGCCTTGTTTGGTGATCCCACCTGACATTTCTATTTTCATTGTTTAAATAACTGTTGACTGTTGCTAAACCAATGAAAATGAAAACTGTCATTAAGGGGTTCTGTATTTTTTTCTATATTGAAATGCCTTGATCTTCAAATGGTAACACTAGTTACGCTAGGCAACACTAGTTGAGACTCAGGGAAAGGAATAGGTTGATTTAAAACAGGCAAACAAACAATAACACCTATAAATGCAATCTTGCTCTTCTCAACTTGGAAAATACAGACAGCATCAAAGCCGTTAAAGGACAGGCAAGTTATAAAAGGCATTTTGTCACATCTCCTGCATCTCCTTCCTCAATTTGGTACCTGAAATACTTGAAGGAGGAGTAGGGCTTTAAAAGCCATCATAGATATTACACACCCTCTGAAGATCTCTCAGCATCAACCCAGGAAGAGTTTAAGAATTCTGTGAGAGACTGGCATCAAAAATTCCGAAAGCCAAGACAAAGTAGGACAAGAACTCTATACATCCAGATGAAAGGGGAACAGACAAATTTCTTCTCTGAAATCTCTGAAGCTTTATCATTTCGTTTGTATTTATATATTCATTTGTATTGTTAGAAGGGCAACCTCTCACAGAAACTGAAGGTTGTTCAGTTAAGTTGACGTTATTTCCCACAAGGTGATTGAAATTTGTGACTCTGGTGGCCTAGTCTCCCAAAACAAGTCAATTCTATAGTGTTTAATTCTACAGTAGTGGGATTAAGGTTAGTTTATTTCACGCTGTCTTTGTGCAGTTTAAAGCATGGGTTTTGTATGTTTTAACATGTTACAAAGCTGGTTAAAAAGTGTTTTCTAAGCCATAGACACTAGAGTGGCATTAAATGACTCAATTCTCAGGCCTCAGGCTGTGCAAGAAGGTTCAATTAGTTATACTGGGCATTTTATTTTGTGTAATAAGACAGCAGCAATAGCAGCAATTACACGTTCATCTGTGTTTGGGGCATAGTTTGCAATACATGAAGTCTGCCTGTTGTTTCTCAGGCAACAAATAATACAGTTGATCTGAGCGTGTCTACTTGAATATAAATGTGCTGAATTTTTGTTATTTTTGTCATCTATGATTAATGACATACTGGCCTTAGCTGCTTTTTCAGTCCCATAGTGAAATATTTTTCAAAGGGAGTTGGTGATAACTTTACAGGAATTGCTTTCTGTAGAGGAATATGGGATTGATTTTTTTTTTTTTTTTTTTTTCTGAGTGTTGAGGTATAATAAGGCATTAAAAAGACTTTGTAAGTCAAACTCAGCTATTCACAACTCATTCACAATCACAATATGTTAAGAAATTTTAGAATATGTATTGATCATTATTAAATAACATAAATTCTAAATTAATCATATGAAATTATTTCTTTAATGTAGTCATCACTTCCTGAAGTCAAGGATATCAGAACTTTCCTGTGTGTGTGTGTGTGTGTGTACATAATTTCTTGTATGAACATATGTATGTTTGGGGCCAAATCCTTTTTGTTTTGGTAGTACATAGTATTAGTCACCATTACAGGCACTAAAGACTATAGAAGTACAGCCATAGTTCTTATCAATAAGTTTAAGGCAAATTTATAATCCTTCAGCACAGAGGTTACCAAGACTTGGTGGTGGAAAACTGAATCCTGTAATAGCTAAGTTAATTCAATTTATATTGACTTTCAATAGCAACTTTAAAGCTACAATTCAGCTTAAAAATTACAGTCTGCTCAGTGCTGCTAAAACATCTCCAGCACTTCCATTATTAAATGTTTAATCATTTAAATGTTCAGAATTCTTTCTATATTTAATAAAATAAGATCTCAGTGTTGCAGGGTTCAGTATAGTCTCAAGCTTCCATTCTTACTCACCACAGTCCTTGAAAATGAGACTGGTTTCATTATATGCTATAACAACAACAACAGTACCACCACAAAAGCCGAATACCCTTCAAGTATATTAGTTTCTTTAAAGAAATGATTCATAGGTTTGTTTTCTTTGTATCTAGCATGTTTCAAGGTGATTGGCTGTGATGATTATTTTTCTAGTAAAAATTCAATAGAACATCCTGCTAAGGCTTTGCTTCCTCTAATCTGCTGCAGTGAAACTGCTTTGAAGAAACATTCTCTTCCAAGTGATTGAAGATGTGCAGTTTACTAAGCCAAATCAAGTTACAAAATAATTACACAACTAACTCTACTTCTATATGGGTGCTGCTGTATTATTTAAAGAATGAAAGAAAACATCTCTGTTCAGAAGACCATCAAAATACATAGAATATATGATTATTTTTCCAAATATGAAGGATGTTACGTTCTAAGCAACTGGAAGAAAAAAAAAAAAAGCTTTTATAGAGAGAGGAAAGGGAGGAGCCATCTTACAAATCTGTATTTTGTCCAAAACAACTGATGAATGAATTCACATTAAAATTGAGTATCTGAATTCTTGTAATGTCATCAGGGTTTTGGTAAGAGGGAAAAATAATTTCTCACTGGCTTCTTTAAGGATTTTTGGATGCAGTGTACTTAGATGACTGACAAATTTTCTCTGAAAGCTCTTTTGCAGTTGCTGTTTTTCTAAAATGTACACTGTTTGGCTTTGATTGCAGCGAAGCTTTATTTAGTTATTAGAGAGACAGTGTACAGAACACATCACAACAACTACCAAGCCCAGCAAATAGAGAGGAATAGAAGAAAATGGAAGATTTAATTGTTTCTGCAGCTACATTAACGTCTTTGACAGTCTTGAAAAGAGAATTTCTAATGAGCACTTGTACAAATGTGTGCAGGAAGTGGTGTTGCTTTTGCTACTGCACATTTCATTTCCTCTAATTGCATCAATAAGGAATTTCTGCTCCTCACTTAATGAATGCCTTTTGACTACTTTCTGAAAGGCAACTGGGTGTAAGGGATAAACACTGGCACCTCTTGTGTGAAGTCACATAAACAGGTTTCAATTACTAATTATCAGCCATAGAAAAACTATTATAATGCAGTAGAATAAGCCCCATTCTACAGTTTTTATTTTAAAATTTATATTTAGCCTACTCTGCTTTTGGTTTGATGACTCAAGCCTGAGACTGAATTTTTTTTTAATTATTATTATGTCATGTGTTAGGCAGAAATCAGGCAGTTTTTCAGAGCTACTCCTGCACCATCTCTTGACTCAGAAAAATCAGAATTCCTATGATGCTACAGTACCTTATCTCAAAAAGCAAGTTTCAGAGCATGGACTGGGAAGGAAGCTGGGTTTGATTTATTTTTCATCATTGTTGTGATCTTTCTCCCTAAACAGAAGCACACTCACTGCAGGTGCAGTGGATTAGTTATGAAAGAAGTTTTCTATTTAAAAACAAGCAAGACTTTAATGAAATCAGAAGAGGATTTGTACAATAGGTATTGTATTAAACCGAGCTCAGACTTCACATTGATTGCGGTATTTAAATTTCAATGACTTGATTATGTATGAGAATAAAATGACCAGTATTATGAATGTACAAAATAAGTGACATGGAAGAGCTGTGCCAGAGAAGTGAGAAAAACGTTCCCTTTATAGTCCCTAGAGTTCAATAAAGCACCACTATTTCCCAGCTTTTAAAAGCTCTTTTATCACAATGGTTCATACCTCGCATTCCCTGGAGCCTGATTTGTTATACGTGCAGGGTCCTGCTCCATTCAGCAGCATCTCACTGGTCTCAGTGTTGGTAGGTTTGTAATCTACATAAAATTCCTGTGTGCTTGGAGTCATTTGCTTCAGTGACTGTCTTTTCTTTTTCCTGTGCCTCCGCATGAGAGAGCGCTGCTGCAGCTGCTTCATACTGGCTGGGTAACGCTTCCATGACACATAGATTACCAGCAGGATCACAAGCACAGACAAGAAAAGGGCCACGCTCCCTGCTATGATTTTATGAAAGGAGATGTGTTCTGTGTCATGCTCGGGTTCAGAGCTCGATTCAGTGGCTCCAATAGTTGGGGGTAGAGGGGGTTTGCTGTCGTGTTTAGGCCTGGTGAGTTTTGGTTTAAACGTTGGCTTTGGGAGAGCTCGTGCTAATTCAAACCTTTCCGTGGTACTTTTGCCACAGATGCTGTAGTTTTTCACTGCATCGACAACATTCACCCCCTGCAGCTCTTTCGGGCTGGCACAAATTATTGTGTTTTCCCTCAGCCCTCTAAAACTTTTAAGCCAGTTTACCAGAGAGCAAATGTTTCTGCTGCATTCCCATATATTCCCAGCAAGGCTGATGTCATTGAGGGATATCCAGGAGTCCAAAATTTCTTGACCAATAAATGTGAGCTTGTTTGAATCCAGGTTGAGGCGCTGTAAATTGGGCACACACTGAAAAACACTAGGTCCACTGAAAGCTTCTATTTCATTGCCAGATAAATCAAGCCTTTGTAATGAGCTCCAGGTCCAGGACATAGTTTGTCCTATCACACTGATTTTATTCCACTGTAAATAAAGGTTTTGAAGGCTGACTAGCCTTGGAAAAAGTGCCAGGTTGAGCTTAGAAAATTGATTGTGCTCCAGATGAAGCTCTTTCAGTCTGATCATGCCTGCAAAGACATTTCTTGCTAAACTTCGGATGCGATTATAACCCAGGTCCAACAGTTCAAGGTTTCTGCAATCTTGAAATATTCGAACAGGGATGGTTCTTAGGGAATTGGACCGCAAATGTAAACTCAGCAGCTTCCTTAAGCCCCTGAACTGTTCAGATCCCAGAGACTGCAGTTGATTGTATGACAGATCCAAATTCCGGAGATTTGTCACAGGTCTGAAGGTATTATTAAGAAAATAGGAGATTCTGTTGGAACTCAAGATCAACTCTTTTAGTCTGCGTATTCCATTGAAAGCATTTTCGTCAATATTGCTGATGTGGTTATGGTCTAAATAGAGCCAGGTGAGTTGATTAAGACCTTTAAATTGATTGTATTTTAGTTTTTGGAGGCTGTTATAGCGAAGGGACAAACCTAAACAACCAGCAGATATACTTGAGGGAATCTCCTGCAATTTCTGAGATTCACAATATACCATTTTGCCTTCACACCTACAGCCCTTAGGGCATCCTCGTTCAGCAGAAGAAAGCATTGTCAGTAATACAGTAGGGGCTATTACCAGAGCTACAGCTGATCCGCTCAGTAGCCTAATTACATTGAAACCTGGAAATAAAAACAACTTAGAAAAGTTATCCCCCCACACATCAGTCATTTCTTTCAATCATGCTAAAATCTTTATTTCAACAATCACTTAAAAATCCCTAGCTTGTCTCAACTACTTTTCACATTGTTTTCTTTACTCAGATTTTTTAAAAGAATGCCTTTATAAATACTGAAAAAAACAGTTGAGTAAAAGGTGTAACCCCTAAGCAATTTAACTGTAATCACAAATCACATAAAGGTAAGGCTATGGAGCAATTAAAGCAGAGGCTATGCAGTGTCTATGAATTGTATATTAAAAAAATAACATGAAAAACATACCCATCCTTTGTGTTGTTCAAAGGTCGTCCTTAGGTCTTTTGTTTTTTGCTTAGTGTGCCACAAGCATGGCAGCCCCTGTCAGCTGCACTGTAGTGAGTCAGGGCTCGCTGACACCCAGGAAGAAAAATTGGACCCCTTGGGAGATGGACCGATTTTGGAACATTATTCTTTGCCAGCCATGCAGAACACTCCAAGAATAAATCAATCCCAACACAGCATTCGCAGAAAAATGCCAAATTCTTCCTAGGTAATAGGATCTTCATGGATGTTACGTTTTTGCATCTTTATAGTTAGGAACCTGGCTTTTAAAATTTCTCTTTATAAGAAAGCATTTTAGATTCTTCCGAGCACCATTTAGCTATCTGAATTCACACATCTGTATTCCATAGCACAGCAGTTCCCTTACTTAGTACCCGATCCGGCTAGGAAGCTGCTTTGTAGCATAGAAGGTAGAATAAGCCCGTGCAACGAACAAGCTCTGCTCACTTCTGCGTACTGTCATTCTGAAAGCTCCGTCCGACTGTTGCTTTGGTTTCAGTGAATGCAGTCTTATGTAAAGCTGCCCCCAGTGGTGAAGAATATTATGGGCATGTGCAGAAATGTCTTCCTTTTATCTTGCAAATGAGTAAGCTCTGCTGGGAAAAGAGTGATTGTTCTGAGTGACTAATAGGAGCAGACTGGTCAGCTTCAATGTAAATTAGTGAGGTATGCTGAAATATCCAAATCCTCTTAGCCTCTTTTACTGTTTCTGAAAGCTGTTTTGCATCCTTGAACTTAATAGCTCTGTATGCAGGGCTGAGACTTTTGTCTGGAAGGATAACATGACATTTGTAGGGCATAGATATAAATTTCCAGTCCTAAGGGTTGGGTTTTTTTCCCCTCATTGCATGAGACATGCTTACAAGACTTTTTTTTGCAATAACTCACGATTTTTTTTTCATTGAAGTATCAGCCCGTCACTGTGTCTCTTATCAAGCATTTCAGTGGGGACACTATGCAACATGAAAAATGTTTCAGAGCTTCAGACTTTTTACTTTTTTCTCATCTGTTAAAAAGTATAATGCCAGGAGGTTAGAAGAGAGTATTGTGCTCATTTATTTCCCAACTTGTTGTCACTTCCACAGCACAAACACTTCAAACACACGCTTCCATGATCCTTGCAACATGGGGACTAAGCAGCTTGATATGTTACCTCGATCAGGTGAATTGTTTTTACTGTAGGTTATGTCTTGGGTAGAATTTTATGTGAAGGTAAAGCATGCAGAACTCTTTTAGGTGTGTGACTCTGGACTGTTATAAAGAGCCTTTTTCTCTTTCCCTTTACTTCGTTTGCTGTGTGCTGTAGAGAAAGAACGCATCCTCTTAACTGGGCAGAGTGATGGTAAAATGGCATTATAGCAAATGCGCCACATTAGCATTCTTCCTCCACCAAGAGATGGTGGAGAAGTATAAAGTCAAAGCTCATTGTAGAGCTAGAACATGCAAAAGCCTGAAGTGTACTGCTTGCTAAAAGGGGAGTACAGATGATAGTCCCTGCAACCAGATAGCACTAAGAACTGCTGTTCCCCTCTGAGGAACCTTACTCCTTGGAAAAACGTGCTTTGGATTTTGAGCAGTGAAGAATTTAAAAGGAGGTGAAACCTAAATTTTTCCATGTTTTAAAATGCTAGCGTTGGCTAGTACTCGGTCTGTGAATGACTTGAGGCTTAAAGCAATTGCACTAGAGCATTAATGCACCTACCTGCAGTGCCTTAATTAGGAGCATGGTTGCCCCTCGCTAATAACAACTGGTGAACATTTTTCACGTCATCACTTAAAGCTACTTATCTTCATCAAGACCCACCATAAGAAAGTTCTCCAGTGTGGCTCAGTTTTGTGGAGATGTAGAGGGTTAATTCTAAATTTATCATGAGCTCCCATTCTCAACACAGCACATCTTTACCTGTTGAATCTGATCTGTTGGGTTGGGAGGCCAGTGAAAAAATGCAGGATGTGCTGGGCACTGTGATAGTCTGGGGAGCTGTTTGGCTGGCAGGAGTATCATGTGCCTGTCCTGATGTGCTTATTATAGGTTTTCCATCACTGCCTTGAGGTCTGTGTGTACTTGATGGAGAGGACTGGCATCTTTGGAAGGCAATTCAGAACTTCAGTAAGTCAGTTTGTCTCCCGGAACTGCCACTCTCTTCCTCTGCTGACAGAAGAGGATGCCCGTGACAAGTGAGCTCTTTATTTAAATGGCTCAGGTTCCTTAAACTCAGACGGGTTGAAATTAAGTCTGAATTTTCATCTTAATAAGAGTTGGTACAACTTTACTAGCTCAGTCTGATCCTTCTTCTCAGATTTTGATAGTTCTCTGGCTTTTCCTCCTTTGTTTTCTTTCTGTATCTTCATTATGGAATTAACAAGTAATTTCTCTGCCACCATGAGTCAGCAGAGCTTCAGTAGCTTTTCCAGGGTTTAGTAATTGCCAATACAGTGGACAAATGTGAGGGAACAGCCACTCTTTTACCATGAGTTATTTTCATTTTTCTGAAAGGGGTGAGACATCAAGAGATGAACAGAGAGAGCATCAAATCTGTATTAATGGATTGCCAAATTCAATTTTCTTTACTGAGATCCTTTTTGAATTACACAAGCAGGAAAAGTGCCAGTGTCTGATAAACAGTTTTTTAAAATTACATTTCTGTATCTTCATACAGTTGAATGGTTTCTTTTCAAATTGCTGAAATAAAGCTGCTCCCAGTATGAACCATTTCAAGCAGAATTTCAGCACAGTCTGATAGCCATATTATGAACTATGAAAAATAGGGAATTGTTAAAGCTGCATTTTAGATAAGAAGATACCTTTTGTAAGGGATTTAACCTTTGCCTTCTATCAAATAGAGTTTATATGTCTTTGCAACCCCACTGCATTGCCTTCTAACTCATGCCATGAGGAAAACAGAACTCGAGGCCAAACTGGTTAATGTTTCTATGGATAAGCTAGTTTTAATATCACAGCTCCCAGGTGCCTAAAAATTTTGAGTTTGTTACAGGATTAATGTGAATTTAACTTAGACTATGTGCAAGGCTATGTCCGTTAGCTGCTGTAGTCACAGAAGTTTTAAGTTCAGTGCTCTGTGCCAGTGTTAGACAGAACTGCCTTCTCAGTACAGAAGTAGCAGTACTACGTGAGGAGCAAGAGGTAAAAGCTGCAAATAATAGACATCAGTGACTTCTCACTGACTGTGTGTGAGCGTTGATTGGTGCCGAGAATCAATGTTATTCCTTCTCTTTTGTCTACTAAAACCAGAATTTTTACAATTCTGAAAAGAAAATACTCTCTTGCACAGTCTCTGTTTCAGCCTTAGGTATAAACTGAGATGCCACATACCTTATTGGTTTTGAGTTGTAAGTTTCCATGATAACTCTGATTTGTTTTCCCGGGCTGTCTCTGAGGTTAAAAATGACATACATTTCAGAAAAAAATATTGGCAGATACGTTGTTAAACATGCCTTAATGGTTAAAGAGGTGAAAAGGCAGTGTTGGGCGGAACCTATGATTTTCTTGACGAGTGATCAACAAATTAAATTCAAAGATATTTCAAAATGGTACAGTATCCCAAGGTAAAGATTTTTTTCTTGATACTAATCATTTAGTAGACTATATATCTGGATATTGTCCTGTATGAATTTGCTCACTGCCAGCCTCTGGAGTAATTTGCTTTAATTTAATTTCATGTTTGGTTTTGGTTTTGCTTATTTAGTTAAATTTGACTATATTTTCTTTTTACATTCATTCTGGCTGTGGCCTTTGTGCCCTGCCACAACACGCCTCTGAAAAGCTAATCACTTCCTAACCTGAATTACAGCCAGAATAGCAAAGCTTCAAACAAAAAATCACATTCACTGTGAAAGCTAGTACCTCCACAGAACTGGTGTGGAATCAAATGCCTTACAAAAGAACAGGTGAAAGAGGAATTCTTGCTTCCTTATGACCCTGACAAATGCACCTGCAGCGACCACATATGTGTATTTGCTGTGGATATTTGGAAGGGATGGATGACAGAATTGCCAGGCTCCAGGAGGATGAGGATGGACAGGTACAGGGAAGGAATGTTAACTTCCCAAAGCAAAAGAAAACAGCAGTTAGCAGTGGTTAGTGGGATTCTATGTGAACCAGCAGTCAGAAGCCTTCCCTGTTTAGTCACTTTTTTCCCATTGCCTTCCTCAAGATCTTGCATGCTCCTTAAAATGCAGTTCTTGTGTAATTATTGCTGTAACTGAGTTTTTTTAAGGAACATTTCTATTTTTGTTACTTCCATTAGAAATTCATTCGGAAAACCAATATCATCCTTTTTTAGCCACAATGTGTTATATTCTTAATGCACAGAGTGTAGGCTTCTGGATACAGTATTTTTCTGTTTGTAGATAGAGCTCCTGTGTCTAGGAGTGTGTAATCACATGTTCCTTTGGGGAACTGCAGATAAAAAGTGCTGCACTGTGTTCTTTTTTGGGTTTATGAAGGGTTTGGGTTTATGTCCTTCCCTCAACTTTATTTCACTATAGAGAAAAGAGGAATCAGCTGGGTTAGCAATTGAAGTTTGTTCTAAAGGGTACTTTGGTGTGCTATCACTGTATCATTAAGAGTGGATAAATCTAATAAAATCTTCGCAATTTTTGAGCCAGTGATTAAATGAACCTGATGTTCTGTGAGGATCAGATTAGGGCTAGAAGAGTATAACTCCCAGGGTAAGTATCAGAGCATGGGAAGACAGAGGGAAACTCAGAAGGATGCAGGATGTGCCAAAGGTGAACATAATGAAAAAGAAGTAAGGGAAAGGGAAGTTCAGGGAACATGAAGTACAGGGAGACTGAGGTAACAAAGTACCCTAAAGAAACAAGGAAGAGAGCTGAAGGAAGGATCAGTCCTGTCCCACATGTTTGTCAGTACTGACCTAAAGGACCATGGTGATAGATAGTAGATTCAGGATGCAGATAAATAAAAACATCTTCTTGTTCTCCAGCTAGAAACAATTAGCTCTGCAAGGTGAAAGGATTGTGTATTACAAATTCTGTGTTAAGATAGGGGAAGAGCTGAAACTCAATTAGAGCTATGCTTCCTTCCTAGGAGTCAGCAACATCTCTATAACATCTGATTGCTTGTAGAAGACATCAGGGACACACCTGTCAGTTTTTGTATGTCAGGAGAATCTCCTCAGCACCACAGTTTGCAGGGCAACTCAGGCTATCACTTTCCTCATGCACAGTTCTATTCAACACACTGTTGAATAGTAAAGCTTTCCAACTGTATAATTTTGTAGGCATTTTGGATGTGCCATAGAGGCTTCTGATCATGTAGGATATGGAGCTGATGGAGCAAGTTCAGAGGAGGGCCACGAAGATGATCAGGGTGCTGGAGCACCTCTCCTATGAAGAGAGATTGAGGGAGACCTCATTGTAGCCTTCCAGTACTGAAAGGAGCTTACAAATATGAGGGGGACTGACATTTTTACATAATTAGATAGT